ATTTTGTTATATTATTAATTCATGTGTCTTACTTTTCTATTATTTTCAGTATGGCCTGACCTGACCTCATCACTACTCTATCGAGGTTAGACTTGGCACTTACGCGGTACCGCTGTGATGTACTCATACTATGCTTCTGCACATCCTTTTGTGCAGATCCAGGTACTTTTTACCAGCCTAGATATTAGTGAGCTACCTGTGTGCGGAGACTTCAAGGTACATCTTCCAGCTTCCGCAGACCTCGGAGTCCCCCTCTATCCTTATCATGTTGTTTTCCTTATTTTAGTAGACTCTGATGTATAGAGACATTAGTATTTCTCTTAGAAGCTTGTGACTTATTTCTATCGAGTTTTGGGAGATTGTAGTTCTTTGACTTGCAGTTTTCATTTATTACAACTATTGAGGTTTGCGTTTCAGACTCATATTATGTTATTCCGCAATTTGTTAGGCTTACCTAGTCTTATAGACTAGGTATCATCACGACATCCTACAGAGGGTGAATTAGGGTCGTGACATTCGGGAGGTTAAATACTCGAATTGGTTAGCAAACGTAGTAGTAGTCCTTAAAAAAGGGAATAAACTAAGAATGTATGTAGATTACAAAGATTTGAATAAAGCATGCTCCAAAGACTCTTTTCCTTGCCCAACATCGACCGTATGATCGATGCCACGGCCGGCCACGAGATCCTCAGTTTTCTCGATGCCTATTCCGGGTACAATCAAATACGGATCGACCTAGGTGATCAGGAAAAAAATCTCTTTCATCACTAAATACGGCACATACTGTTATAATGTAATGCCGTTTAGATTAAAAAATATTGTGCCACATACCAACGCTTAGTAAATCGGATGTTCGAAGAACTCTCAGAAAATTAGAAGGGAAGAAGTTTGAACTTAAGCTTTCAGAAAACCAGTAGATAAGTGTGATGAAGTTTTCTCAAAACACAAGAGAAAATCTTTGAATTTAAAGTTCTAATGAATGAATGAAAATGGTATTTATAGTTCTCTCAAACGGTGGTTCGCTTCCTGTAGCGGCCGACCATCAACTGATACCTATTTAATGCATTGAAGACTGGACCGACGGGACATTCTCAACTATTCTTATCACTTATGTCATGAATCCGTCGTCATGATAGATCAGAGTGAGAATCGGAAGCTCGTATCATTTCTCATCATTTACTCTCCAGCAAATAAGGGGATTTGATGCCACATTTTTTTCACTTGCATCATGATATATTGAAGTGAGAATCGGAGGCTCATATCGTTCCTCGCCATCTACTCTCCGAAGAATGAGGGACTATATGTATACGGGTAAAACCAAGCTCGATATTCGATCGAGCTTCTGCACTCCCTGATTAGGCCAGGGTCGAAATATCTGTGATCGGGCGAAGTTGAGCTCGAAGATCGATCTTACGCCAAAAACCATCGGCCAAGATCGGCACATGGTGATTATGATCAACCCAAAGCATTGTCAAAGTTAGCCATCGAAACCATCAAATATGCCTTCGAGTTTACCGAAGGCATAACCGGTCATGTTTCCAGAGTCCTCGAAGAAAGTTTTGCCAACTCATCCGACATGGGTTCGTAATTCTCGCCATTAACCAATCATTATGGCAGAAATCACGAAAAAGGGAACCAACGGTCCTTTTGCCTTTTATAGAATAATAAAATAATATCTTAAAAGGTAGATCTCCCCTAATATATAAAGGAGACTTGACAATTCATTAGGGACATTGTAACATATACTGATAAACAATACATTCTCTAAGTTCTTACTCTTTGATATTTTGGTGCCAAATAAAGTGCATTCAATTCAAGAGTGCTTGTTTTCCTAACCCGAAATCATCCAACTCACGAGGTTTACGGTTAATCTATCGTTATTTATTTTAATTATAATCTAATTTATCGTTTTGTATTAAGTTAATCCACGTGTCCTTATAATCACTAACAAATTTAATTGTTATCCGATTTTGAGGGTAAACAAATATAAATATTGATACTACTTACAAAAAATTCAGCATATGCCCGTGATCCTTTACCTCATACTTTGAGATCTTCCTCCCCGGCGATCAAGGAGCAAGGCTACTCGCGATAGGCAACGCTTTAAGCCGCCATCACTCGATGCTCTGTCTATCTTCATATTTATCTTTTTTTGTCATTGCTGGTTCCCTTTTTCTTTTTTGGGGTATAATATTCAATTCACCAATTTATACTTATTCAATTATTTTTCGACCTAACTGGACAATAAATCCGAGACAAAACGATTTAAATTATCAGTTTTTACTATAAAAATTATAAGAAGAAAAGGAGGCAATCGACCTTTGTGTATTATCTAAGGATATTAATAGGGTTAGTGCTTGAAAGTTCATTGTATTACTAGTTTTTTCTTTTTCTTTTTCCTCTCCCAAATTACGAGGATCTATAGTGTTTAGTGTTTGAAAGTTCAGTGTATTACTAGTTTTTTTTTCTTTTTTTCCGCCCAAATTAGGAGGATCTATAGTGTTTTCACACTCCTCTCCAGCGTGACTCAAACCCAAGACCTAACAGTCGTAGGTGGTGGTGCTTTTAACAACTGAGCAAGCCTCGTTTGTATTACTAATTTAAGAGAAGGTTTCGATGTAAACGTGTGATAAGGGTAATTCTCTTATATATATATATATCCTATTGCTTTTGGAAATTGACACTTCTTTTCTGTTCTTTTATGCTTTTTCTCTTGTATGCTTTAGCTTATTATTTACTTTTCTCTCCTTTGAAATGCATGGTGTGTTTTTTGGAATGTGATTTTAGACTTCCCCACTAACTTTTAGCAAAAGATGGATGGATTTGTATAGTCCTGGTATATGGTCATCATTAAGACTGTAGAGGAAAAAGGGTTTTCCTTCATCTCTAAGGTACCAAAGCCATCAAAGTGTTGAAAATGAGGAAATTAATTCTCCAACACTTTTAGTACTTTAAAATTAATTAAGTGTTATTTTGGCATTTTGTAAAAGACGATATCAAATCAATCCTAGTGGTTTTTTGCTTTTTCTCTCAACCAAGTGCAATATTTGCTCATATTACGTGATACCACGGTACATGCAACTTAACAAACTTAGATTTAAATTTCGTTGTGCGTTCAAACATTGTATAATATGCAAACTTTTGTGTGTTGCCTAGTGGAAGCTCCAAAAGCCTCCATTCTATCTAATTAGGTAAAGAAGAGAAGGGGCTGCATTCCACAAAGAGGCTTTCAAATATTGTCATTTTTCAGCCCCATGTTTTATCTCTAAAGTTGGACCAAAAAGGTGCATGTGACAATTAAATAAATTATCTTATACTAATCTTAAAAGTTAAAGTAGGCAATAACATGTTATCACTTTTTATTCCCAAAAGATATATGTTATGGATTGTTATGGAGTAAAGAGTTTTCAAATTAAAGTGACATATTTAAGTAGGGATTATTTTATTTACAGAGTCGCTACTTATAATTAATTTTTCGATGTTTCAAGTCATCTTTTATTTGAATTCTTAGTCAAAGGAATGTTTGACTCTATTTGTACTGTTCCGCGAAAGCAGGAGACCGAGTAAGGAATTCTGTTGATCGGGAAGAAGGTGTGAGGCACTCCCCGAATCACGTAGCATGATCGCTTTATTGACTACAACTTGGCTTGAATTAATTTTAGACAAAATATGTCTTATTTGGGTTTTCATGTTTTGCCAATGTCCGCTTTTATTGCTTGATTATTAGAATTATCAAAGGATGTTTTGGATAATAAGATATCGTAACCACACTACACAAGCAAATGCATGATCGAGACGAAATTTATTAATTTTTGTCATAACCGCGCTACGCAAGCGAATCCGCAGTCATGACAAAGCACGTTATTATTTTTGGAAAAATTACTATATTTGAGAAAATTAAATTTTGAACTTATTAAATGTTAACTACCGCGCTACGCAAGCGAATACGCGGTTATAACATGGGATCAATTAAATTAGAAATTAATTAAAATTATTGGATATGGTGTGAGATTATTGAATGAAATATCACGCTACGCAAGCGAGTCCGTGAATGAAAAAGTTAAAGCGCACCTACTAGTAGCCTAGCGTTTTAATTATTAAAAGTGATTGAGTTATTTTAAATAAATAAAAAGGGAATCTATTTTTATTTCATTGGAAATTAATTATGCAAACAACCAAGGTATTTAAAATTTTGGGCCAACTTTTATCTATTTCAAGAATGGGCTACTTTAAAGATTTGGCTATTATAATGGCATTGGGCCACTCTCTTGACTTATGGGCTGCAGGCTCATTTGTGAATCTGTTGGTATTTGAGTTAATTATTCATGGTCTTAGAACAACACTTTGGGCCAAGCCTAACTAATTCAACTTTTCCCATAGCCCAGGAAAAAAATTCCAGCAGCTTAAATTGATGCTAGTGTTCATACAAAGGAAAGTATTTAAATTATTTATTTATAGAAAACAAGCCAAAAGCCGAATGAGTCACTTATTTTTTTTTACTGATTTGATCTTTTATGACATTTCCAGGAGATTAAAAATCAAAACACAAGAAGTTTTCATGTACGTACTTTTTATTTTTTCTAGGCAGAATGGCCTAAATGACACCTATACTTGTCCCACTTTATCATGCCGGCCTCCAAAGTTAATAATTTGCCAATTGAATACTTACACCTCTTCAAATCGTGTATAATAAACGCTTATGACACGAGATCGCAGTGTGTGTAATACATCTCTTACATGTAGGACGCCACATCAAGAAAATTAAACCACGTAGACTCCAGGTCATTTATTATGGCCATATGAAAAAAATAAAACGGGAATTAATTATTATCCCCAAACCCAAAATTTCCCCTTATTTTACACTTGCCCGCTTAGTTAGGGCTTAGAAAGTATAAACTACTTTTGTCTCTCCTCTCTTCTCCGCCATCGTTGCATTTTTATGTCCAAAGCCCACTTAAATCCTGTCTGCTTCTGCTTTTGTCATAAAGAAGCGTTGTTGGTTTTTTTTTTTTTGGGAAAATAGAGGAGAATCAATGGCGGAACAGAGATTGAAAATAGAGGAAAATCAATGGCCGAACAGAGATTGAAAATGGAGGAAAATCAACGACGGAATAGAGATTGACAATGGAGGAAAATCAATGGCGGAACAGAGATTGAAAATAGAGGAAAATCAATGGCCGAACAGAGATTGAAAATGGAGGAAAATCAACGACGGAATAGAGATTGACAATGGAGGAAAATCAATGGCGGAACAGAGATTGAAAATGGAGGAAAATCAATGGCGGAACAAGGGTTGTTGGTTTTCACCTCCGAATTTCAAAATTTAACGGAAAAGAGCCTGTAGGTTTGCACTTAAGAAAATAACCTTCCAATTGAGGCTCAGATCTATAAGATTGAAGACAAGGCAAGAGATTGGAGACACCGCCATGGCTGCAAACACCGGTTGCATGTCGTCACCGTCCGGGTCGCCCCGCCAAGTTACGGCTCCGATTGTTCCCTTGCCCTAATCAATTTGCTCAGAGACAGAAGAAAAAATTATCATCATAGCCTCAGATTTTTGCTACAATTATTATTCATTCTTATTCTAATAATTTTTTTTTCCTATTTTAATTATTTCTAGTTCAAAATATTCATATTCACGCTCATTATCCAATTACACTCACTTTATCCATTTTAACTATTATTTTGTCACATATGCTTGGTCAACGGTCAAAGGGATTTAAATAATAGACTTTGATCCAACAATGGTTCCTCCAAATAAAGAAAAGAGAAAAAAACTAAAGAAGTCCAAAATCAAAAGATTTAAACACTTCACATGGAAAGAAACGCCACATTCTTAATAAAAGAGTAGCTAACATTGATTTTAGTTTGGACAACAGACTAACATATGCACCATGAATTTCTAGAACTTGAACGCCAACTTGCAGAGATTACATTCTTAATAAGTTTAACACACATGACCTTAGATTTTTTGTTTTGTTTGTTTAACTAAAATTTTGATGACAACAATTATTGTTGTATTTTTTAAAAGACAAGTTGCCTTGACACTAGAAACTTTAGTCATTTAATATGAGCATGAATATTTATTTAATCATTAAAAAAACTTGAAGTTCGGGAAATTAAGTAACAACTTGAGCCATGGAAAACTATACTATTTCACCCCAGGAACAAGCTCAACTTCAAAATATAAATAAGCACTTGATCATTATAAATAAAAGAACCAGACTACATATCAAATATTTACAAAGAAAAGTAAAATCAGTTTAACTTGCTAACAGTAAAAGTAGAATCTTTAAGCTATTTTTCCCCCCAAAGTTTCAGGTGAAATGACTGTCTGTAAACCTGTTGTGGCAGAAGCAAGGAGGAAAAAGGTCTTTTCAGCCACCCTACTAGTAAAAAGTAAGCTACTAATGTACCCTATTTCACGATTGATTATCTAATATTCAGTTTTAAACCATCAGCATCAAACTAACTTGCTCAACATAAATCAAACTCAAACAAGAACTCAACTCACTAATTGAATTGACAAAGTAAACATAACTTGAGTCGTAACTAAACTAAGTACTCCAACTAACTAGATTAAACCAAATTAAAGTATGTGAACTAACACTGAACAACCGAACCATTGATTAGTAGTAACTGCTTAACTGACAAATCTTCAAAGGTGACATTAACAATGAACTAAGCGGCTAGCTAATTTCGATTTAGACTAGCATAACACATTGACAAGCGATATAATCGACCGACTAGGTCGGACAACAAGAATTCCAAATATAACTATACTAACACATGGAACGACATTCGAGCACTAATAATTAGTAAAGACTAGCAATTGAATGACAAAATTATAAAAGATACATTAAAACCCAAAGCATGGCATACTGGCCGAGAATAAGAAAAATAGAGCAAAAGGACGAGATTTGGTATTTACCACTACTCGAGGCAACGGTTCCGACCTTCGAGCACACTTTTCTTAATGATAGATGATGGTTCAGCCATCCTTGAAACCAAAGCCTTGGCACCATCATCGTATCACAAAGGAAAGAACGCTCAAGAGTCGGGGAGGAAAATTGAAGGAGGGTGTGGAAGTTCGGTGGTGGACGGAAGTTTCGTCGGAAAATGTTTATCGTATTTTCGGCTTGAGACCAACGTTAAACAATAGTCCTCCTCGAGCTTTGTCCGTGTATATAGGTGTTGGGGGTAAATATGGCTCAAATCTCACGAATTTAAGATGAAGAAAAAAGTGACAAGTTGGGCTTCTTAGATTTACTATTCATGAAATTTGAAGGATTTTTTTTAAGGATTTGGTTTGGACATATGAAAAGAATAGGTTGTGGAGATTATATGCTGAAATTTTGGGAGTGATTGGAGGTGGCCAGCCGGTGGTGACGATTTTCGGCCAGTGGAGATGGGCGATAGTAGGGCGGAGACGGTAAGGAGAGAGGGGAGAGGTAGAGAGAGAGGAGAGCAAAGAAAATAAAGGGGAAATGAGGGCAAATGTGAGGCAATTGAGGCTTTAAATACCTGGGTTAGAGATTGACAAGGGATGTCTGATTAGATAAGATTGAATGGCTGAGATTGAATATCAACCTACTTATCAAAACGACTTAGTTTTGTGGCGTCCCGTTGGGGCCTTGAGCTCGGCGGGTCTGGTGCTTTGGGCCACTGATTTTAGTCCATGTTTTTACCACTTTTTGTGGGGAGAAGTGCATAGTTAGCCACTAATTAGAGATGTCTTTACTGTTTAGCCACTGTTTAAAATTTATTTACTCTTTAGCCAGTACTTAATAAATTTTTATTCGTCCGGACGAAAATACCCATGTGCTAGACATGGTTGATGTGTAAATATTAAGGACATGATATCCTAAACTTCATAAATGTTGTGTATATATTAAGGACAAAGTGTCTTGTATTTGTACCTTCTGTTGTTAAACTTTAGGACATCATGTCCTTAACTTCATATATGGAGTGTAAATGTTAAGGACATGGCGTCCTTAATTTCATATGTGCAGTGTAAATGTTAAGGGCATAGTGTCCTCAACTTTATGAGTATTGTGTAAATATTAAGGGCATAGTGTCCTTAAATTCATGAATGTTGTGTAAATATTAAGGATAAAGTATCTTGTATTTGCACCTTCCGTTGTTAAACTTTAGGACATCTTGTCCTTAACTTCATATGTGCAGTATAAATATTAAGGACATGTCGTCCTTAACTTCATGTGTGCAATGTAAATGTTAATGATATGTTTACACAACACTCATAAAGAAAGGGTAAAAATATCTTTTCGTATTAATTTTAATAGAGCAATGGCTATTTTTGCTCCGCATTAAAAATACCGAATAAAAATTAAATATCATGTTAAAAAGTGGCTATCCCACACCATTTCTACATTTTTGCCTTAAAATGACAAGACCAAATCCTCATAACCCCTTATCAAACTATTAACTATAATCTAATTCTAAAAACATACAAATACACACACAATAAACTTAAAAGATATAGTCTAAAAAGAAAGAGCAAAAGTTAGGCATTTATATAATGTATATATATGCAAGACATGTCAAAAGATTGTGTCTAGCCCTCATATTTTACCAAATTAAATACCAGAATTAACTAAAAGTTAATCAAAGGGAGTTGAAAACAGAAGAGTTTATCAATTGTGTAAGAAATCAAATTGATAACATTGGTGTCACTACATTCAACTGGTCTTTTCTGTTTTTGTGGGTTCTCAGTCTTTTTCAAGTGTTTCCATTGTCTTTCGTTTCATTCTTAGAAACCCCACAAACCAACGGTGAATAAAGCCTTGTAGTATTGCTCTATATATGCACCTTGCGGGAAAAAAGTTGAGCCCAAAGCCTGTAAAAGTGGGTAAAACATATTAGGTACAGAATTTATATACAACTTGTATACAATTATGTAAGTTGTAGATATTGTGTATACCTTCTACACTTGACATACTAAATATATACAATTTGTTTGTGTTCTTTTTCGAGTTTCAATCTGAAATTTCAACCAAAACCATCTCAAATCTTCACTAAATTCTCTTAAAATTGAGATATAAACTCCAAAATATTCTCAATTATTTGCAACAACACACAATCCAAGCAAAAAATAATTTTGCAAATTTTGATTTTCGAATTCAAAGCTTCTAAGCTTTCTAATGGATTAACATAGTTTCCAATTCAATCTACTCACTTCTGATTAATATTATTTTGTTTATTGATTCCATAAAGCTAAAAAAAATTAACAGTCTCCTCTCGCTCAAAAGTGCTAATTCGTTCATTGTTTAAAATAGAAAAAAATAGAAAATAAAAAAAAGACAAAACGTAGTAGAATTGCTTGATGCCAAATCGCTTTGTTCTCGTAAAGGTATGGCTGAAGTTGAGGAGAAAGAGGCCAAACATTCTTATTTTAATTTATAATTTTAGTTTTGGGGTGGAAGAGGAAGAGAAAGTATGGGAAATTAGAGTCTAATATATTATTTTGTATAAAATTGGTATTTTACATATGTACTTGTAATTAAGTTAAAACCTCAATAGAGAGGATAAATAAATTTCAAAATTTGTATAAATAAATAAATATTTATAGTGCTTGACGGATCTGAATGAGATAATTAATTCTAAGATGCAGTCTCTCAATTTTTTATAAAAACATTTTGCATAACTTTTTCCCTTTCCTCTTTTCTTGGTTTTGTTTGCATACAAGCTTCAATAAATTACTACCAATGTTTAGTTCATTTGCAAGTCAAAATAGTTAAAGACAAGTTGGATCGTGCGACCTAACCATAGCTATCAACCCATATTGGATGGTCGAGGGTGTTGGACCAATGACATACCTATAAGAAAATGTAGAAATGGTGTGGGATATCCACTTTTTAATATGATATTTAGTTTTTATTCAGTATTTTTAATGCTGAGCCAAAATAATTATTACTCTATTAAAATTAATACGAAAAGACATTGTTACCCTTTCTTCATGAGTGTTGTGTAAATATTAAGGACATGGTGTCCTTAACATTTACACTGCACACATGAAGTTAAGGACGCCATGTCCTTAACATTTACACTGCATATATAAAGTTAAGGACATGTTGTCCTAAAGTTTAACAACAGAAGGTGCAAATACAAGACACTTTGTCCTTAATATTTACACAACACTCATAAAGTTAAGGACATGTTGTCCTAAAGTTTAACAACAGAAGGTGCAAATACAAGACACTTTGTCCTTAATATTTACACAGCATTCATGAAGTTAAGGACATTGTGTCCTTAATATTTACACAACACTCATAAAGTTAAGGACATTATGTTCTTAATATTTACACTGCACACATGAAATTAAGGACACCATGTCCTTAACATTTAAACTGCACATATGAAGTTAAGGACATGAGGTCCTAAAGTTTAACTACAGAAGGTGCAAATACAAGTTAAAGACATTATGTCCTTAACATTTACACTACACACATGAAGTTAAGGACGCCATGTCCTTAACATTTACACTACACATATGAAGTTAATGACATGATGTCCTAAAGTTTAACAACAGAAGGTGCAAATATAAGACACTTTGTCCTTAATATTTACACAACATTCATGATGTTAAGGACATCATGTCCTTAATATTTACACAGCACCCATGTCTAGCACAGGGGTATTTTCGTCCGGACGGGTAAAAATTTATTAAGCACTGGCCAAAGAATGAATACATTTTAAATAGTGGCTAAAGAGTAAAAATATCTCTAATTAGTGGCTAACTGTGCACTTTCCCTCTAAATGATGTGCCAAGATATGGGGAGTTCAAAAAAGATTCTGACAAATGATAATTACCTATCACATATTGAACAGAGTTAATACCCTAAAATTATCCTAAACTATCACGTTTTTGTCAATTTCCTAATTAAACTATTCGGTGTCCCCAAAACCCTCCGTCTATTTTGCCCTTCATATTAAAACCCTCACATTGCATTCTTAGACGTGCGTCTAGTACACGCTCCTAATTATCTAAAAACATAACATGTAGTACTACACATGGCTATTTAACTCAGCGTAAAACCCGCCTAAACTATCATTTTATTATCAGTTACCTTCTTAAACTATATGGTGTCCCCAAAACCTTCATGAACTATATTCCCCTATATATTAAAAACCCATGTTGGACTTCTAAAGGTTCGTCTATCTAAATTAACTTATGGTTTGTACAAACTTTTTATATAGTTTACTCATGATGAATTACTCTCGAACGATTGATTAATTTTAGGAGTTTTGGCCAAAATAATATCTAATGTACTATGTTAATTTTAGGTTTAATTGTGGTTGTACTTTACGCTAGACTCCAATTGATAAGTCCTTAATTATATTTACTTTGTAGCACAGTAAAAATATAAATAAAGGCATATAGTGTTGCATTTTTTAAAAGTCATCTTATAGTACATAAAAAATATTACACAAAATAAAATTTCGCAAATAATAAATCAATTGCCCAATAATTTCATTCTCTAATTTCAGATTACATAAAAAAAGGTTCAAGAGATTCAACTTTATTCTTTACAAGGTATTGAGTTTAATAACAAGATTTAAATTGATATTCTCTCAACAATATTGTCACGACCCAAAAACCTCACCACAGGCGTCGTGATGACACTTAGTCTCTAAGACTAGGTAAGCCGATTACAATTATATTTCGAGCTATTTTTTTAACTTATAATTATAACACAAGTGTCGAAACCAAAAACGAAAACAAATATAACAACCTCCCAAGACTGGTAATACTGAGTCACGAACTCTAACTGAATACATGGTATGATCTCAAGGATCGAATATACAATACTGTTCGAATAAAAGTTGACAGTACAATATAACAAAAAGACTCCAAGGGACTACGATGACCAAGCAGCTCTACCTTGAATCCTTGCGATCAACACACTAACTCTACCCGAGTCCCATATCTCTAATACCTGGCTTTGCACAAAAATGTGCAGAAGTGCAGTATGAGTACACCACAGTCGGTACCCAGTAAGTATCAAGACTAACCTCGGTGGAGTAGTGACGAGGTACAGTCAAGACACTCACTAGTCAAATAACTTGTGCAATATAGCATAAAAAATAATAGAAAACAATAGCAGTGATGGCAACAATAATCAACTTGTGACATAAACAGCAAGCCAACAGGAACACCATAAATATTACTCAAACGAATAATAAACACAAGTACAAATATTAATCAAGTCTTTCAAATATAAATCCTTCACATATAATTCTTTCGAATAAATACCCTCCAAATATATTTCTTCAAATAAATATCCTTCGAATATAAAACTCTTTCAAATAAATATCTTATATCATAATCATAAATTGCGGGTCTCAGCCCCCTTTCATATTTGCATGGCACCTCGTGCTAGTGTCTATATCACAACTGCACGGATAACTCACGTGCCCAAAATATCAATATATAAAAATCGTAGGATCAATTTATTTTCAAT